GAACAGGAAGTGGCGTGCCAAAAGGCGGCGCACCGGAAGCGACGTCACTGGGAGCGACGCGTAACCACCCAGCTGCCGGATGGGATGCGCCTTCCAAGGTAGCGCTGTCGACCTGCTCCGCAACGCCGCCTGACCGGCTTTGCGAGGGCGCCAGGTGGCCGGCGCAGCTGCGAACTGATGCTGGGGCAGGCGGTTACTTAGGGCCACCGCCCACCTGGGTCACAGTCAAACCAAGACCAGCTGGTTACGCAGCCCCTTCCCTGCCATCGGAGCCCGGGCAGGGGGCCTGACCAGACACCCCCACTACCACTGAACAGTGCCTCCCTCTCGAGGCATACCCTTGCCCAGGCATGCGGCCCATACTCAAGTTTATCATGGCAGGAATAAAAGTGGAGAGCTTAAAAATCTGTTTTAAGTCAGGTTTATTAAGGTGTAACAATTTACGTGTACAGTTGGCGGTTTTAACAAATGCATTGTCCAGGACCCCCGCAGCACAATTTTAGTGACTTACTGGATGTTTCCGTGTCTTTACAACTCAGTCCAAGCCCAACAAAGGGACAGTCATATTTTAGCTACCTAACACAAAACTCACTGGGGAAAAAAGGACAGAAGCTATGATACAACATGCTGCTTGACTTCAGCATAGCATTTTGAGAATTTTACTAATCCACAACTTTCTACATTCTTGGTTGGATCAAACCACAGAATTTAAAGTCATCATTATCCCTCAGTGACTGAGTCACAAAGCTGACAAAAATAAAGTCCTATCACACATTTCCCCAAAACTTCTAGAACTCAAGCTTTGTCAAGCTGAAGACATTGCCTTGTGGACAATTGTAAAACCCACACAACTTGAAGTACAGTAAACTTCTAAAGTGTTAATTTTTCTCAAGTAAAATAAAATATACATTTGTTCTCATTTCTCATTAGAATGCAAAATTAAGTTTGCCATATAAATCCCAGATATGTACCATAGGTTTAAACTGTTAGTTTTTTATTGCTATCTCCATCATAATTTTTATTAGGCTGCTCTAGACAAAAACATTTACAGCGAAGAATAGTAGCTTCAGCTAAAACAGTCTCTAGGGTACTTATGTAACAGTGGTGTGGTCCAAATGAAGGCACTGTTTTATATTTGAAATTCAGATAACTTTATTTGAACTGAAAAAAATTCTTGGACCCTTTGTTATAAAAAAGTGTAAGTATTTCTAGGTAGGATAGAAAGTAGTATTTCTAGATTAATAGATGACTTTGGAAATTTCCAACAAATTTTAGAAGAGTGGTGGAAAAAAAAAATAGAGTATTTACAGAAAACACTATCTACATATACACTCAGTGGTACAGATTGGGTGACAACGACTTCAGTACATGCTGGCATCTCAGAAGTTCTCAAAGAGCTTTATTTTCTTGGATTTTAAGTGGGTCTAAGATCCTTCTTCATCCTCAATCTTGGGAGCCAAATAGTACTTTAAGTGTCCCATATCAGCAATTTTGTATTCTACAACTGAAGGAAAACAGGAATACAGTTAATTGAGGAGCATCACAAACATGACCAAAAAACAAGACAGGGCAAATGTATTATCTTACCAAGAGGTACATCTGCAGACATACTCAGTGTTACTGTAGAAGACAGTGGAGTGGCTTTTGTAAAGAAGTTCAGGTATCTAAGTGCAAAAGTTAGCTGAACGGGCTCATTCATCTCTATGGTAACCTAAAGAAGAAAAAAAACCAACCTTAACACATCAGAAATGTTGAAATTCACTAGTTTATAATATTCTCTTTGAAGGGAGATAATGTAACTAACAGAGGATCCAGATAGACAATCATGGTTATCACAAAAAGACACTGGGCATCATGGCCTCCTTGAGGTACACACCCCTTCCCCCCAATTCTCAAATAGATCTGATAAGTACCAGTTTATAAGAAATCTGGATAGGCAGAATTTCACCAAAGAACAAAGTTCAGAGGTTAGGAAAGAGAAACTGACACAAGAAGTGTACTAAATGATGTTACATTGAAGATTGCAATGAATGAGATGAAACACGTTTATGAGTCGTTGTATGTAAAACTAAATCTTAACCCAATTCACAAAAAATAAGAAATAATGGAGGTAGAGGAACTTTTAATGAACACAGGACAGGGAAGCAATAGACCAAGTCCATCTCTGAAATTTACATCCCATAAAGACATTTAACTTCATTGACAGGATTCAGCTTCAATTAGAGTAAAGAACTAAAGAGACCAATGGAATGAAAGAAATTCAAGGGGCTCAACCATCTGCAATGTATAATCTATTAAAACCCTGATTCAAACTATTTTTAAACAACCAGGGAATTTGAACAATGAAAAATGTCTTCATGTATTGCTTCTCGGCCTTTTGGCTAAGCTGAAGTATAGAAAAATGTCTTATTGTCAAATAACTTTTAGATATTACACGTGGTAAGTCATAGCAGAACTAATACTAAATGTTTTGGTATTTATTTGGATAAATGGGGGTGGTAAATAAAGTTGACATGAAGAAGTCAATTTTATTAACCATGCTTATAAAAATGTGGTTTCCAATTTATAGCACACACACACCATTAACACTTGCTTTTTCTTATTAATGGAGCCCTGGTAGTGTAGTGGGTTACAAGTTGGGTGGCCAATGTCAAGGTTAACAGTTCAAACCCACCAGCAGCTCTATTGGAATAAGGTATGTTCAAGCCTAGAAAGTCCACAGGGGCAGTTCTACTCCTCAAGTGTGACTATGGGACCTGATGATGGTGGATTTGGGCTGTTTTGAGGTATTATTAGTGAAAAAAATTTTGTCATTTAAACTAAAGTTATCCATTTAGAAGGCTACTTATTTAAAAGTAGTACACTAACCCCCCTACCTCTACAAGTTTAGGACCTTAATTGTTCTCAACCAACAATCATTAACTAAAGTTCCAAGGAAAGCAGGTGGTTTACTTGAAGGCTCCTTAGCTTTGCCAGGAGCCCTGGTGGCATAGTGGTTCCCCACTGGGCGCGAACCATAAAGTCAGCTGTTTAAAACCACCAGACCCTCTGCAGGACAAAGACTCAGCTTTCTACTCTCATGAAGTGTCAGGAACCTACAGGGGCAGAGTTCCAGCCTGTCATTGTTGTTATAAATCAAAATCAACTCCATGGTTTAGTTTTGTTATGTTTAAGCGCTCTTAAATTCAAAAAGATTGAGAGATATTTAACACCTGGTAAAAGTCATTGCATCCCCCCAGCCCCTACTTCCATTTAAGTTTTTGACTTCTAAATTGGTTAGGCCAGTCACTTAACCCTGCTCAGTGTGCTTCCCCAGTTTAAATTGGATAATTGGACCTACCATATAAAAGATTATACAGAGCACAAAAGTTAGGTTCCTAAAAAGATGATAAAGTTTTATCCATAACCAAATCCTTCTGTTAAGGTGCTATCCTATTGCTCATTATTTAGCAAAAGGCAAACCAGAAAACTCAGAAAGCTAAAGGTCAGATACCTAGCTTCCAAGTTCCACAAGTGCAACAGGCTTGATTTAAAAACCCACTGTTCCGTGGTCCAGAGCACTCAATTTGTATGGCCCCTCCTCAGAAATTTAACTATAATCAATTGAATGACATTTACAAATCGTTCACAGCTTTCCACAGTACCTCTCAAGGCTCACAAATTACTTAGAAATGCAATGCTGTAGTTTCCTTTTAACTTCAGCCACTAATCTAATGTAAAGCAGTACTATGAATTTTCCTCTGTTTTTGGTATTTACTTATAAACTACTTACAGCCTCCTCCTCTTTATCAACGTTACTTGTTTGTGACAACTTAATATTCCCATTTCCGAGTTCTCCACTTGCAGAAAATTTCACTCCATCTTTCGCACAGGAAATGACAACAGCATCTCCAATATGACTGAGGTCTCGGCAGATACGTGCAAATTCACCAGAAGGCATCTTCACTACACAGCTATACTCCTGCTCCTGAAAACAAACAATTCTGCAGGTGAATTGCCAGGAGTTAAAAAGTTGACATTTTTACTTCCTTAAGAGGCAAACATTGACACAAATTTTATTTTCTTTAATAAAATAGCTACTACTTTGTAATTCCTTCATAGACTCCAACCACTAAGAAACAAATGTAGATGTAAAACAAGTGTGCATAGAGACATATCAAGCACTAAAGCTGAAATCTAACAAGTAAATACACTACCCAGTACTTTTCCTAATCATCTATCAGAGATAAATCAAGAGGATATTGTATGGTACAGAAGCCTCGGCTAATTGCCTTCTAAAAGAAAAGAAAAAAATATGGCTTATAAGGATTTTATACTTATTCTCTCCCTTGATGTTGAAAAACCCTGCAATTTGTTAACATTGCTTTAAAATCTACTCAGACTATTAAGTGAGAAATGTCAGTCCAAAAACTAAGCCCACTTTGGAACAAACAGATTTTAGAAAAGTTCTGTTGGTAAATAGGCTTGAAATGTCCAAGTTTAAAACAAATGTTGGCTACACTAGCATCAATACAGTATACAAGTCAGAAACTTTGATACTTACTGGAATTCCAAGCTGTTCAACATCTAAATCCATCAACTTCATTTCATAGTCTGAAACTTTTTCTTGGTCTACCAAAACAAAAACAAAAACCCAACAGTGTTCAAGAAAAGCATGCAAGTTGATGAGACATATCATTTACAACTGTCCATCTTGAGAACCTTGGATACCTTTTCACTTTCTCTAGCACAATTCGGTAAATGGTATGACTTACTTGGTGCTTCAAATACTAGTGCCAATGTGTCTGCATTATCTTCTGCCCTCAGTGTGATGATGTCTTCATTGCCAGCACACTTGAGTATCTTGGACATGCTAGAACACAAGACACAGGGTCTAAAATCAACATCATCTTTCACACACATGGGTATGATTTCTAATGTCATTGCAGTAATGAGTTATGGTTTGCTCCCATGAATCTGAAGGAGGAAAAACATACATCTGGAGAATGTGGAAACTGGTTGAGCCATCTTGGGATGCAACCTGGCAAGTGTCTCCATGTGGCTAAACTAAAACCACCCTACACCCTATGTCCAGCACTTTCACTTCCGCATATTAATTTTTTAAACAAATGTTACTTTCTAATTGTAAATTCCTCTATAGCAAGTATATATAAATACATTACTGGGCCGTAAGGTTCATAACCTAATAAACCTATTAGGCATACAGAACTACACTTCGCTTCTAGTATGCCTAAGTATTTACCACAAGCTTTTCTTTTATTTGTGGGTGTATTTAATACTAGATCCCCACTATTGTCCAGTCAAATTCGACTCACAGGGAGTTCAAAGGACAAGAGTAGAAGTTCCCCATGGGGTTTCCGAAGCTGTAAACCCTAACGGGAGCAGACACCTTCATCTTTCCACCCCTCTAAAGAGTTAGTCTCGGAAACCCAGAGGCAGCTCCACTTCGTCCTACAGGATCTACGCAGCAAAACAAAATGTCTTCCGGTGGGTAACGTTCAATAAGGCTGAAAGTCCTTGACCCAAGCCAGATCCTTAGGGTGCTGCTTGGTGCCTTACTAAGCAATAAAACACTTGGAACAATCTGTCTTAGCAGTGATGCGTTTTCATTAGGGGCACACACAAAGCCAACCTCGACCCATGTTCCGTATACAAAGATTTTATAACGCCGACATTTAATAACCAAGGAACTAAAGAAAAGCCTTTCTTTCCGTGGCACCGCGAAGTATCGGGTCATTTTCCCGCCACCCCCACCGCTTTGTGACTTTGGCGCGGAAACACCCGGTTCCCGCGGCCGCCAGCGCGGGCTTTCTCGAAACGCGTACCCGTTGGGTCCCGCCCCCCAGGCCCTGTAAGCCAATGAGAAGGAGAGGATGGCCCATGACAGCCAATGAGGACCAGGCTAAGAGACTCCCGCCAAAGGACCAGGCAAGGTGGGTGTCAGCTCCCGGCTCCTGGCCTCTCCGGGCTCACCTGGTGAGGTTCACGCCCATGGCCAGGTTGCGGTCGCAGCGGTAGGTATCGAAGCCCTCGGAGCGCAGAGTGAGCTGCACCAGGGAGACGTGGGACGAATCCATGCTCTGCAGGTTCACGCCACTCGAGCTGATGTCCCAGCAGGCCTCATTGATGAGATCCTTGAGCGCCTCCAGCACTTTCTTCAGGATGGAACCCTGGACCAGGCGCGCCTCGAACATGGTGGCGAAGTCACAACGACGCGGCTACAAAGGGTGGAAAGTATGATGGTCTAACTGGCGGAGGCCCCTCAAAGATCAGAAAACCAGAAGTTGGAGACAACCAAGGAGAACGACCGGCCTCCGGCGCCTGCAACCGTTAAATGCCGTCGCGTCTGCGAGCGCGCGCTCCGCCCTAGCGCCAAAGGCCGCGACGTCACCACGCTGCCCCGCCCTCCGTAGGCGGAGAGACTTCAGGGCCAATCGTGTCCCTGCTCGCTGAGAAGTCTTCCTACCGGGACATTCATTGGCGGACGTTGGTCGGGGGGTGGGTCGAGCGTGCCGCGTCTTGGTTGGCGGGCTGGCCTGTGTGCCCCTCCGATCTCCCGCCTCTTTTTTACCAGTGTTTCTGCCCCTACGCGCTAGACGTTCACGGGGGCCAGGCTCGTGGGTTTTGGAGGATCGCCGTGTTCCTCAGCTTCCTGCTTCAGAACTAGAAAGTTCCTAGCTCTGAAAGTGGAGCGCAAGTCATGCCTACAAAGGCTGGAAAAGCTGACTCGTAGCCTGAAAAGTATATACTCCTAAGAGTCAAGTAATGAAGTGTACGAACTTATGTGGGAAGAACAAGTTACTTCAGTTCTCCAGCTCGTAACTTGCCTTCCCTACATTCGGACCCCGCAACCCTATAGCAAAGTCAAATAACTTCTCAGCCCTGTACAACAGCGTTCTGGGCTTTTCAAAGACGTACATACCTCCCTTTCCTGGTTTGTTGCTTTGTTTATGGCCTTTCTCTTGAGTTGCTTTAAGAATTATCTCAGCCGGTAGTGTTCGTTTTCCAACCCTGGGTGTAAGTGTGGATAGGTTTTATCTCATTAAAGGTATTTGGAAAAATAAAGGGCATTTGGTTCTTCTGAATTGGAAGATTAACTGTTATCATCAAGTCTAAAATATTCTAAATGGCTTCAAACATTGCCTCTTTCTGTACTCTGTCATCTGACATTTCTACTAGACATACTTGTTTTATTACATTAAACACTATTGACCTATCACGAGTATACTCGTATTTTCCCTGCCCGAACGTTGCTGACTGGTCAAGAGTCTGCACTTAGGTTCGTTTATGCAGTTTTAAGCCTGCAAACTAGATCTTTATAGGAGCCCGCTGCCCAGGATGGATGTAGTTTGAAATAGCTGATCGGCAGTGTTATCCGCCATTGGTTAGATGCACCATTGTTTTATGCCGCGCTAGAGAAGGGGAAAATGCTGTCAAACTATCATAGAATGCTTTAGCCCTGAAAAGTTCATTCTACTTATTGAAAGAGCTTTTAGACTTTCAAAAACATACCAGGTTTGTGCATATATAGCAAATTACAAGCAAAATAAATTGGTTAAAGTATTTCTAGCATTCTTCCGACATCTAAGTTTTCCATTTCATTGCTGATATTGGTGTTTTGCCATAGAGTTCGCTCTGTGTTCAAGGGTATTGAAGAAAAAGCCTTTTTTGAAGAGGGACCCTTCTAGGGAAGACTTTGCCTAGTGTTTAAAGCATAAGACTTTGTCAAATTCCAGATGAAAGAAACGGGAATGGGGGGGGTGGGTGGTGGTGAGGGATTGGGAGTTAGGAGTTGTATTTGTAGAATGGAGTCTAGTATGACAAGATTGGAGAGCATCTATGGTGCTCAGTGAATTACTCAGCTTATGTCATGTGTTTAAGAATACTTGTTTTATACGTATTCACTCTAAGGTAAAGAATGCCCTTATACAATGGCTTGCAGCTGCGCAGCAGGAGCTCTGCCCCATCAAGTATCAAGGGACATCTACTACTACAGATGTTCTGAAACCCTGAACCTCTTCCTACTAATGAGAAGTTTGTTTGTAAACTAGGGAAAGCTACCATATTTCCCAACAGGTGCTGCTAATTCCAATCTGTTCTTGAGATTGGCTCTACCAAGAGATCCTTATGAAACCTTTGCTTAACCAGCTTGTCTGCACATAGATGCAACCTCTTTCTGGAAAGTTATTTCATTAGAAGAAATCCCATGTTCTTTGCAAGGAAGTGAGTTTTGTTAAGTAAAATTATTAAAATAATTTATTTTGAAAGTGTGCCCTTCAACAGGCACCAATGTTCATTGTAGTAACCTGTGTCCATCCACAGATCAATGTATATAATGGAATATTATGCAACTCTAAAGAATAATGGGGAGACCAGGAAATAATCACATGATGAATCTGGAGAACATTAGGAATGAATTAAGTCAGCATCACAAAAGGACAAATATTAAATAATCCCATATCACCAAGTGTCAAGAAAAGATTTTTAAAAAGAAAAGATGTATACACAGAAAGTAATGTTCTCTGATGGTTACAGGGATGGGAGGAGAGAGGATCACTTTCTAGAGCAGAGGTTTGCAACCTTCCTAATGCCGTGAACTTTTAATACATTCTCTCATTTTGTGGTGACCCCCCAACCATAAAAATATTTTCATTGCTACTTCATAACTGTAATTTTGCTACTGTTATGAATCGGGCAACCCCTGTGAAAGGGTCATTCAACCTCCAAAGGTTGAGAATCGCTGCTCCAGATAGATAACACTTGTGGAAAGGGCAACACCAACACTAAGAAAAAGGGGCAATTTCATTGAATGCTATGTAGCATATATAATTTTGCAACAATGGTAATAGCCAAAAGTATGTGTGTGGTTGCATGAGTAGACAAGTATACATTTGTACATCAAGGCATATGTGTGTACTGTGAGTACATGTATAGGTGTATCTGTAGGCAAAAGCATGTTAGTGTGTGCTGCACATACATCCATACATGTGATAAAGCACATAGTGGGCATAGTTAGGAAGACTGCCTAGATATACCCAAACAACTCAGAGGATTGGTTTACTGAGATTCAGCAGTAGGACCATTGCATCTTGGAACAACTTAGTCACTTGGCATAACGGAGTTCACAGTGTGCTACACCTGACTTTGGTGAGTAGCATCTGGGTACGGAAAAGCTTGTGAGTGGCTACCCAAGATAGAATCCTTAGTCTTCACTTCTGGAACAAAAGAGAATGGGGGAAGCCAACGACCAACAAATTAGTACACGGGCCTGATAGCCCAGACAAACTGCAGCTCTTCCAACACGAGACTGGAAGAATTCGATGGTGTCCAGCTACTGTTAGCCGATCACTCTGGCCAGGGCACAGTGGAAGTTCTCAGATTGAATGGGAGAAAATGTTGAGGCAAATTCAAGTTCCCAAAATGATCTGAAGTACTACACCAAAAGAAACCACAAAAACCCTGGGGATGTAGGACCCTTGTACTTGGCATTGAAGCTACTCCAGTAAGTCATAGATTGACTTCTACAATAAACAGTACCACCTGTGAGTAGTTTGCTCCTTTAAACAATCAATTATATGAGACTAACCTATCAACAATTGCCCGAAAGGGAAGATGAGGAGGTATGGAGAAGGAAAGGAGATGGATGGAAACAGACCTAGCAGAAGGAAGCAATGAGAATGCTGGGCAGGACTTTGAACTTGTTCATTGCCATTGGAGCTCAGCCTGAGAATTCGCATTTCCATTCCAGATACACTGGAAATAGAATCAACATTTTAACATGATCCCAGTGGGTGTGATTCTTTGGCATACAGTTGACTCTTGAACAACTTGGATTGAACAGGGCCTACTGATGGAGGGAATTGTTCCCTCTGTTGCAATGAGTCAGAATTGCCTCCTTGGCAGTGAGTTTGGGTTTTGAGTTTTGCTGTGGCAGTTCATCTCTCCAATGATGGGGGGAAGTGAGAGGGTTGGAGGGGTGAGGGGAAGCAGTTACTGGGGAGGAACTTCTCCAGTGGGGATGATTGGCATCAGCAGATACTGGCAACACTTGAGCTTACTGCAATAGCAACAGGAGGAGAAAAATCCTCTCTAAAGGGCACTACCTACTCCAACCTGTGTTGCTCAAGGGCCAGCTGTATCCATAGGAATCACCTGGGGATGTAGTTAACATGCAGATTTTCATGCAATATATTGGGTGGGAATGCAAATTCTTGGTAGGGGTTGGAAAAGCACTGATGCTGACATATTTCCAAAATCTTACCACTGTCAAGGAACAATTTGAAATTATTAACTAAGAGATTGATTTGCTATGTACTTTCACCTGAGCGAGAGAAGAGCATCCCTCTGGGACTTCCCTGGCTGGTACAGTTAACTCGCTCACTTGCAAACCCACAGGTGGGAGGATTGAATTCACCCAGAGAAGTCTCTGAAGACAAGCCTGGTGATGTGCTGAGAAACCAGTCGTTGAAAACCCTGGGAGCCTAGTTGTACTCTGACATGGGTAGGGTCACCATCAACTGGAGGGCAACTGGAATTTCTACCAAATCTCTGTTACCCAAATCTCTGTTTTAAGGTAGGTACTTTTTGCTTGATGTTGAGAAACTATCATTTTTTAAACATAAACTTCAATATCAAAATGCAGCACTTCTTCATGTATTTGTGAGTATTTTCCTTTCTCTGGTCCCTAAAAATCTCAGCTGTTGCTCTGCTAAATGTGGAATGCATTCCTTTGTCCAATGAGGAACATTTGCTTCACAAATAACAATTATAGGCTCTGCCATTCTGTGTTAATAACTTCTGCTTACATAACTGCATTTCAACACTCAATTACAGTGTAAATACCAACGAAGTGAGGCGCATAATCCATGGATGACAAAGACCCGGGGTCAGAGGAGGCTTCTCCAAAGAGCTTTTAACCCCAAGAGATTTTTGGAGAGTGGAAGGAAGAACATTCTAGGTGGCAGGAGGAATAGCATATTTTAAAAGAATAGCATGCTAGTGCTAAAGACAGGAAGGTATTGTGGAGGTCTCCCATCCAAGGACTAACCAGGCCCGATCCTACCGAGCTTCTGAGATCAGAAGAGATGGGGTGCATTCAGAGTTGTATGGCTGTAGACTGTGTGAAAGTCAAAGACCGGTGTATCTGGAGTACACTGAACAATGAAGAATTGTGCAATGTGAAGTTGCAAGGAGAGGCAGGGACAAGATCATATAGAACTTGATAGGACTTCCATAAAGATAGGCCAGCACGCATCTGTCAGGTTGACTTACTGCGTACAAGGCAGTACACTGATAAACATAACATAGTTTTTCATTTTGTTGTACTTTGGAGGA